CTGCAGCATGGAGATACTGTTCTTCATATCAGTGAGGAAAATGGCATGGAGAACCCCCTGCTGTCCAGCCAATTCACTTTCACTCCTCCTGAGCTGGTGGAGAAAGATGCAGCACTAGATGAGTCCCATGTTTAGCTCGGTGTCACAGGAGCCATGAAGTTGACCGAAGACCGCTGACAACAGAACGCTTTTGGTGAAAAGAGTTAATTCCAAAACAGCACTTTATTGCCAGTGGGTGGCATTAAGTCTGAGTGAATTTTGCTGCCAAAACTCCTAATGTGTCATAACCATCTTAAAAATCAATAGTTAAAAGTCTTTAGTCAGGTGAAGACCATGAAAACAGGGAGGAACAAGGGGAAAGAGCCATTTCACTGCACATTGTGTATAACTCGCTTTGAGCAGCTAATATATATACTATTACAGACAGCTGAGAATATACACTATTGCTTCCCTCATAAGAATACTAACGATATGTTCTAAAAAGGAAGGCAGTCTTTTAAGATACTCACATTATACATCGCCTGAAAATGTTTATTTTTGTAGTCTCAAAAATTGTACATTACATGGCCATACATATAGCAACTCACATAAAACAACCAATGAAAAAAATAATTAGATTGGAGAAACTAAATTACAAGCCCTGCAGTTGTTTTTGTTTTGGTCAACAATATACCCAGTAATTAAAGGAACAAAACACTATTTTTGAGAGCTGTGGACTTTTCAAAATTTATTTTTTAACTGTCATTTCCACTCCATGCTACAAATCAAAATCCTAATGCCATAGATCATTTCATATCCATCACATTAGACATAATGTTCTAGAAATTCTCAGATATGATTCTGAATGAATAACATAGACAGTTATGTAATTATAAAAGCTAAATGTAAATAGCATTGCTTGAAAGAGCTGGCATTCCTACTTCTAGTCCTGACTACATCAATGTCTAGATTGGATCTATTGGGAAAGGAGATTGCTTTTCCCGTATAGTCCTTGTGCCTGCCCCTGAGGGCATATTTTCATACATTAAAGCTAAGTTGTTAGAACTAGATCGGAAATTAACTCTTTCTCACTAGTCAAATAGTATGTGATCCTTAGGAGATCTCAGCTAATGAGGAAGAATACAGAGGTAATCAATTTCTTCATCGCCTCAGACAGCTTGTATATATCACTAATAGGGCTTTAACTCGAAGTGCAGTTACATCAATAAAATGAAATAGAATTCGGAAGGCTTGTGAGGCCAGTACTTAGTGGATTATTAAAGGGCTGGGCACCATGCAGTTCATAAATGGTTTTCAAAAGTTTAGCAGTTTACATTAGAGAAATGTTGCATAACTACTAAGCATTGAAAGAAATATATACATACCTACATTAGTATGGGAGTGTGTGTGTGTGTGTGTGTGTGTGTGTGTGTGTGTGTGTGTGTGTTAGTCTTCAAGTAGAAGTTAATAGAGTTTGATTATGTTGAAATGAGTTTAAAATATATTCTATAAGCTCAATGTTAACTATGTTGGCTATGAACTGTACGTGTATATAAAGAGGAGATCTATAAACCCAAACAAATCATAAAGGAAAGTAATTTTTATGTTAGAATTGTTTATTAAATAAGCACAGTTTATATTGTGACTTATAAAATCAAATATATTTTGGGGCTATGGCCCATTCACCAAGAAAATGAAAGTATCTACAAATTAATTTGAATAAGACTTAAAATCCCCAAGTTGACAAAATCAAGATGCTATCACCTCCAGGCCTTTGACTAAGAACAAGTATGGGAAATCAAGGAGATAAAGGGATCTGTTTTATGTACTATAGCACCTTCACATCATTTATTCTTAATGCTGAGTTCATCCCTAAGTACAGAAGTCGACATGCAAGTGGTTTTCTGGTTCTAAGCTGATGTATTTTGCCTGTTAAAAACTATGCTGCTCAATTAGCATTAGAGGCCTTATGTCTGGTAATTACAAGTGTCTGAGTTATGTGCGTCTATGTGCTTTGTTCCAATTTTGTTATTCTTGATTCAAAATCTTTATAATTGTGTCAGATATTTAAGAAGTATAGAGGTCAATGAATTGTTAAATACTCAACAATAACCCTAAATACCTTTATATATTTTAAATGTGTTGGGCTGTTTGAGAAATGTTACTGTTTGAGAGATTTTACTGGTCTGTCTACCTTTTAGCCTGACTCCTTCAGTGTCATGTATAGAAATCTGTTAGAAATTTTTTCAATAAGCTAAGTAATGTTTTACCTTGGAAAAAAAAGACTTGTCCACTCTGAGAAATAGGAACTTACAGAGTGGAAATATTCTCTCTTGTGTTGGACTTCTGAGATTTTACAGATTTGTGCATCTGTTCCATTTAAGGTGTCCTTAAACGTGTTGAATGTAATGTGTTGAATGTTTATGTGTGGTGACTAAAGTATCTATATGTATGTGCATAATACTGTCACAAGATGTATTCTCAGGAATACTGTTACCTGGAGTTTGAAGGAATAACTTAAAGAAAAACAGTTAGGGAAGAAAAGAAAAAAGTTCCAGTTAATTGACAATCTTTTGTAACATTCAAAATGTGACTAAGAACTTATTATCACTTATGATCAATATAATATTAGTAAAAATAGATTTATTTCTTAATCTATGAGGCTTAATCATATTTATCTCATTCAGAGGAAGGATAAAACAGGCACCCAATTTCACCAGGTATTAAAACAATTACATTCAATTAAGATTGGCCATTTGGAAAGTAACTTTATAGTGAGACCATGGAATAAAAAAAAATCACCCATGATAATGTGTACAGATTTATAATATTCAGGTTAAAGCAGTTTAAATCCTGGGTGCAGAATTTTCTAGAACAAACATTTTATTTTCATTTTCAGCATTCACTGCTTTCTATAATTCTATTAAACTACTTGATTCTTTTAACAAGGAAAGTGAGTTAGTGAGCGCCTTGGAAAAAGCCACGAAGAACTACAGTGTCAAAGGGCACAACTGGGCACATGGCAGTGCTGGAGGCAACCGTTGGTTTGTTTCATCAAGCCTCCAAGAGTAACTTAAGAAAAGATGGCATCTCTCATTTAGCATCTGTTCTTTTAGTCAGTGAGGAACTTTCTCCACTCTGCTGCCTGCCTCCTAGAGTTTCCGAGGATATGGAATAGATGTATGGATAGAGATCTAGAGGGATGAAAGGATTATAGAATTATAGTTCAAAGCATGAATGAAATACCTTCCTTGAGTTTCACAGGATACTTTTCCAGAGAACTCTCCAGAATTTGCTGCTGTCACACTGAGTCACACCTTTGCTCTGTGACCTCACACTTCCAATCCATGGCCTTGTGTCTCAGCAGGGAGTAAAATGTCCCACTTCCTCACTTACTTTCGTGGGTCTCAACTGCGGCATTTCAGAAGCAAACTTTGATTTGACACTCAGGAGAATAAAAACAAGCTGAGGGCAGAATGTATTTGGAAAAGTTTATGATAAATTTACTTATATTATTTAAGGATCATTTAGGATCATAAATCTACGTACCTCCATGATATTTTCAATAGTCACTGTGACCATGGGGTTAAAGTCCTTTATTAGCCATTTTGTAGGTAAACACAAAGGATTGACTACACAGGCAACTTCCCTCAGATGACTATACAGTCTGTGATGAATACTGAATGACCAAAGAGCATGGAAAAATGCATATGAATAAATACTGAGATGTTTATGAAAGATATTTATGAAAGCTATTGACTTCTGTGTTTGAATATGCACATATAATAAAATAAATCTAAAAGTATTTAATGTGCCCCCAGTTCATTTCTCTCCTTTGAGAATGGGTTAGCTCATTCAGGATCATTTTTGAAGACTTGGAGTGTGCCTTCCTTTATTCACCTCTTGTTCTTCCTACCTGTACTCTATACCTGGCCTAAAGTCACCACTCAATACACACCTTCAGTCCCTCTACTTCTACGTACAATTGATAGCCACCTACAGGTGCTTCCCATTCCCCATCTTTCAAAAATAAAGCAGAATGTAGATATGGAAGACAGGTAGCCAATTTGACTTCACTGCCCAGATTATGATCTGCTGGAATGCTGGTAGTCCAAGTCAGAACATTAAAGACTTGATTGTCCTCTGACTGTGGCCATAGAAACTATGGCATCTAAATTACCACCAGCTATGTTTTGAATAAAAAAGATGCACTATCTTATCCTTGTTCTTTAGGAATTGCTCTTGTTTAATCCATGTTTTACTTCACATAGCTTTGCATTATTTCTTCCTGACCCAGAATCTGGACACATTTGGCATTAGGACACTTACCCATTTCAAGAATTATGGCTGAATAAAAAGCAACTGTATCAAATCCGTCTACCGCCTAAGAAAACTCCTACACTGAGTACTCAGCAGTCACCTGCTCTCAGCACCTGGACCAGGGAACATCGCAGAAGAGAGGACTAGAAGAATGTAAGGTGGGGAGAAGTGTTATGGAATACTGACCGCTGGATATGACAGGGCTGTTGCAATTATGAGCAGAAGCAACTGTGGCTACCTGCGCAAGACCTACAGACACAGCAAGATATTGAAGTAAGAGAGGGATTGATTAGGAAGAGGAAAAGGGTCAGCGGGAGTTGAAGGGCAGTAAGAGCGGGTACCGGGGACTATGGTCACAATATAAGGTATACATGCATGAAATAGAAAAAAAAAATACATTTCAAAAACAAATTCCTGCATTGTAGGCAGTAGTCCAGCTGATCAGCCCGTGGCCTTCTTGCATCATACTCAATAAACTGTTTTTCCTTACAAAAGTTAAAAAAAATCCAAGACAGGAGGAGGCAGAAGGTCCGCGCCTGGCTCCGCCCCCAAGCCAGCCATCGGACAGCCCCGCCCCCTAGGAGGAGGAGGCGGAGGCGGAGGCGGGACTTCCTCGCCGCAGGGCAGCTGCTTCCGGCAGAGTCCGGAAGAGAGTGCAGGGCGGGAGGGGGGCGGAGCCAGTGCGGCGGCGCCCAATCGGGACGAAGTCTGGGCTGGCCCGGGCTCTCGTGGGCTCACTCGCTCTAGGGAACCGGCACCATGGCGTCGGGCTGCAAGATCGGCCCGTCCATCCTCAACAGCGACCTGGCCAACCTGGGGGCCGAGTGCCTGCGCATGCTGGACTCGGGGGCCGACTACCTGCACCTGGATGTAATGGACGGGTAACTCCGCGGGGCTCGGGGCGGGCTGGCCGCGGCGGGTCGCGTCGCTGCACCTTCAGCGAGCGCCTGTTGGGTGCACGGCGCCCCCTTTGCGACGGGCGGCCTGGCCGCCACGGCGCCGGCGCTGCTGAGGGCACCGAGCCGGTCCTGGCTGCCTTCCGGGGGATGGGGGTGAGGGTGGGGGGCGCCCAGGCTCCCCCCCCAGTCCTTCCCCGCCCCCAGTCACCTGTGGTCCGAGGACCCGGAAGCCACCTTCAGTATTGAGGACATGTCTCTTTCCTGAGCTCGTAGGGAAACTGAGGCCCAGCGGGACAGGCACGGCTTGTCCAAACTCAGCTAACTAGTTAGTCTCCGTGGCCAAAGCTGGGCGACCAGGCTGGTCCCCCCCACCCCCCGGTGTGACGAGCTTGACACCTGGCTCTGATTCCTAAGTTCGACCACTTGCGGATTCGTTTTAGATAAAGCCGCCTCGGCCCTCGCTGAGGTTCGGTGGCAGGGTCTGGAAAATGGAAGTGTTATTGATAATAGAACGCTTCCGCGTCCTTGGGGGAGAAAATGAACTGAGCGAGTCCAGTGCCTGACATGTCACAGATTCTCTACAGTTGTTAGCTGGATCGAATAACCATTCGAAGTCTGATTTTCCTGTCCTGTTTTCTCTTCAGGCACCCTGCTCTTCAGGGAGGTCAGTTTTTTTTTTTTGTAAGTAATTTTTTAAGCACCGTAGTGATAGCTTATAATGCTCAGAATCAGGGTCCAAGTTTCCTACATTGGTTATAAAGTGAGTAAATAAACCTAGACCCAAAGGAGGCCGTAAGACTTGCTCAAGATTACAGAAGATTGTGACAGACTTGGAACTTGAGTCTTCTTGGCTGTGACTACCGTTTCCCGCCGGAAGTTCCGCATAGGATTATACAAGTCTTGGGTTGAGATAGAAAAATAAATTTATTTCAAATAAGTAAAATTTGTTTGCCCTCCTCAGTCGCATTGGCAAATATGTGTTAGTTCCCAGAGGTTAGTTTGTTTCTTGTTGGGGGTTGCTGTTCATTTTGTTTTTGAGACAAAGTCTATGTAAATCAAACTGGCCTCAAGCACAGAATCTTGCCTCGGCTTCCCCAAATGCTAGGATTACAGGCACATGCCATCACACTCAGAAGCCCCTTTTCTTTTTAATGTCACTGGCTACTCTGTAGCAGTTTTTCTCCTTGTGCTCTGTGCGGTGAAATGTCTTGTTTCTCTTAACACTTACTGAAAGCCCTTGACTAAATAAAGTGTACACCATAGAGGTAGTAGCTATATTTTTGGTGCCTGAGAAAACTTAGGGGTCCCAGCATGGAACAGGCTACGCGTGTAACTGTGAGTGTGTTTATCCAGAATGAATGAATGGAGATCATTTCTTTCAGTTTGCTAATAGGGATATTGGAGAGCAGTACTTAGAAGCACTTGACTTTCTGTTCTGGTGCTTTTTTTTTTTTTTTTTAACTTATTTTAAAAATCCTTTTATTATTTGAGATTATATATAATATAATTAAATAGTTTCCCCCTTCCCTTTCCTCCCTCTAAACCCTCCCATTACTACCTCCTTTCTCTTTTTCAAATCCATGGCCTCTTTTTAAATTAATTGTTATTGCACGCACACACACATGCACACATAGATATTCCTGAATCCATAAACGAGACCTGCTCGATCTGTCTAATGTTCCTTGTGTATATATTTTCACAGCTGGCCATTTGGTATTGGGTAAGACTGTGTCTCCTGCTCTCAGCATTCCTTAGTTTTCTAGTTCTTTGTGTAGGGCTGGAACCTGTGGGCTGATCAGGTACTTTTTGAGGTTAATGTTTTGTCAATGAAGAGTAAGGTGCAGTACCATGTTTCATAGCAAAAAAAAAAAAAAAAAAAAGAGGTGGAACCAAGGTAGAAGCCATGTAACTGTCTCAAAAATAGTTATATAGCTTTCAGTGAGTCCTGGAATATTTTATATTTGTATTATTTTCTCTCTCTCCTGAAGTACTGAGAGCAGGGTCTGTCTGTCTTGCTCACCTTGGTATCTGAAGTAAAGCTGTGTACAGCCATGTTATCATTGCTTAGTAATAGTAGGAAGGATCTCTAAGAATTACCTTTGCCCCTCCCAGCAGATCCCCTGCCTCTATGGCAGACTTAAGTTTAGTAAATAAGGCAATTTTTTTATTTTTAAATGGTTCTGCTTTTTCTGAGAAGCACTGGCTTGGAAAACCTAAATTCTTCATGTACAATTTTTACGCCTTTCAATCTTTGCCTACTTTTTTTTTTTTTTTTTTTTTGTATGAAGTAAAAGCTGTTTCTATTCATCATTTACAAAAGAGGAAACCAGATTAGGGAAGTACAGCTTCTTTCCCATCGTCCTGCTGGAGCAGACAAAACCTGATGGGGATGGTGTCAGTCACTTCCTTAGCCATGTGGTGCACCGTTTCCAGGACAACGGTACAAAAGTGAGCTGTGGGATCCCTTTACAAAGGTGGCCGGCCTCAAAATATTTCCCTCCCGTCTCTACTTCATCCCCCAGTTTTCTTTCCTGCTTAAAACTGAATTTATCTAGAAAGTAAAAAACTGGGTTGGGAAACACTAGGTGGCCAGACACAAGTATGGTTCAGTATCTAAAATAAAAGGCAGATTTATTTTCTGCAAAAACATTTTGAGGAAAATACAAAGCACATCATGACAAGATGGTGGCTGGAACGGGTTGATCCCAACTGTGGGAGCAGAGCAAATATCTATTTCCAAATCAGTCATCAGGATTTTAAATTGGGGAGATGTCAGATGAATACTGCATTTCTGACTTTGGGGCCTGGGCCATCGTGGGGGATATCAAAGCTTTGGCATTCGTGTTCTGTTTTCTGACAAGGCCGTGATGGGCTGGAGTGGAGTGAGGCAAGCGCCCTTAACCAGTTACACATTTATTTGTGTACTGCGCCCTACCCTCTCCATCCCGTCTCGTCTGCTCAGTTTTGTTTCTTAACTTTGCCAACTGCAGCCGGCCAGTGGCTCTGATTCCTGATTCACAGGAAGATTGTATTCTGCTTCCAGACATTTTGTACCGACCTTAATCCTCTTACCATTTTGTTTGTTGATCTGTCCGCAGTGGACTGCATTCCAGTTATAACTTAGTAAAGGTTAGCACTGGTGAGGGAACGTGGTGAGAGGAAACTTATATCCCTGCATTACCACAGCTGTAGCTTAACTGCGGCAAGCCTCTGGTTCCTGAGAGGCGGACTCCTTTGTTGAAGTTCCTTTCAGACTTTACTCCAAAGGGCTGCATTCAAGGACGGAAATGTCAAAATGAAATCAAGATGAAGCTCACTTTTCTGGTGAATTCCTTTTCTTGAGAGTGAACTTATTTAGATTTTCCCAGTCCAGTAAGAAATCTTTGAGACATTTGATAAAAATTCATGTTCTTAAGTCTTTGGAATCTCAATAGCCCTCATGAAGAAGCTGACAATCCCTTGATAGTTGGTGTTGTCAGGCGATTCTAAGACACCTGACTTCATGCCTGGGTTTTTGTCCTTTTGGGGTTATGGCCTAGTGACAGCCGTTAGTGTCTTTTGAGAATATTGATGCATTTTGTGCTCTCAGTAAACTTAGTGAACCCAGTTCATTTAATTCATCAACAGGAACACAAATTGCTCACATAAGTTGAGCGTCAGTTTTTCTGTTTTATGCTCGTGTTTCTCAAGTAGATTTGTGTTTCCGTCTCAGCTCCTCAGCCTGTCTTTTGTCACTGTTTGTTTTCGTAACAAATGAGACCTAAATTTGAGCAAACAGATTTTCATGGCCACACAGAAAATGGAAAGAACAGTATATGCAATTAGAGACTTCGTCTAAAGTTGTGGACTAGTCAGCCTGCTTACTGCCCCTTATTTCTAGTGTAAGAAATGGTCACAGTGTGTCATCGAGTGTTGAGAGTGATTGCCCTTAGGCAGGCAGTAGAATAATCTTCTAAATACCAGAAGTGGAACCTCAGGGATCTGGTGGTTAGAGAACTTATCCACACTGGTCCACTTGTTCTGTCCTGCTCAGGGGTGGCCTGCATGAGTTCCTGCCCTCTCCCCGCGACAGTTGTTCTAGCTGCCATTGTACCGGCAGGTGAACACAGGAGACTGGACTTTGTAGTGTGCGTTAACTCCTGCCTTCAGCACTTAGTGGTTCTGTGACATGGGCCGCGTTCCCTCACCTGTGGACACAGGCGCTGCCTGTCTCCCAGGGGTGTCAGATAGAAAGGTGAATGCATGGAAGGGTTTGGAACTTATCCCTAGACGAAGTTTTTTATGAGCACTTACCTGTCATCCAAACTCACAGCTGTAACCATGGCTCTACTGTCTGTTAACACCCCCAACACACCCATCTAATCAGTTGTTGACAGATACTCTCAGTTTTGCCTGTCTTTGTCATTTTTGCCAATTCTTAGTATTAACCTGTGGTGGTTGGACTGAAAATGGCCCCCAGAGACTCAAAGGGAGTGGCATCTTTGGAGGTGTGGCCTTTTTGGAGGAAGTGTGTCACAGGGTTTGAGGTTTCAGAAGTTCAAGCCAGGCCCAGTGGCACTTTCTCAGCTTTAGAACTCTCAGCTGCTTCCCCAGCACTCAGGAGGCAGAGCCAGGCGGATCTCTGTGAGTTCGAGGCCAGCCTGGGCTACAGAGTGAGAACCAGGAAAGGCACCAAAACTACACAGAGAAACCCTGTCTCGAAAACAACAACAACAACAAAAAGGGGCGCCATGGTCATGGTGTCTATTCACAGCAATAATACCTAACTAAGACAACACCTCCTCCTTCCTTCTTGCAACTTATCGCCTGGTCCATCTTCATGCTTTTATTGTCTATGTTTTATTACTTGCTCCTTGCCCTACTATCCATCCCACTTGATATTTACAGTGCAATAAACTCCAGACACCTGCGTGTAGCATTGGACACCCTTAATCTGATAGAGGCCACACCTGCTTTGATCAACAGCCTTTCCTCCTTTGACCTAAACTTGCTTAGTTCTGCGTTCACTTCCTCTAAAGCCATTTCTGATCCTGTAAATCTCAGCATTCCTTAAGTCCTGTGATCTTCTAGTGTAGAATGCTACAGGATACTTGCTTTTATATTTATCTTTTGCTATTTTCTTTCTTCACATTTCTGTGGGCATTATTGTTTAGCTTTTCTCAAAGCCCACATTTCAGGAACATAGCACTGTTAGTTTCTTTCTTGCTAAGGTAGCTGTTGAGTGTGTGTGCCCCTCCGTGCACTTGTTCTGGGAGTTCCCCTCCTTCCATCCCATGTGAAGAGCTTTCTAGGCTAGTAGGTAGAGTGAGAGCAGGAAAGGGGTGCAGGTTGAGTTTCTCTCATCCACAATGCTCGTGACCAGAATTATCTCAATTTTGGGTTTCTATTTGGATTTCAGAATATTTGTGCATGCCATTAAGTTACTTTGGGGATGGGACACAGGTCTAAGTTCATGAAATTCATATATGTCTGATGAAACTTTACAGTTCTCTTTTTTTATTTTTTATTTTTGTTTTTTCAAGACGGGGTTTCTTTGTGTAGTTTTGGTGCCTGTCCTGGATCTCGTTCTGTAGACCAGGCTGGCCTCAAACTCACAGAGATCTGCCTGGCCATGCCTCCCGAGGAGGGCTGATATTAAAGGCATGAGCCACCACCACCTGGCCCTCTTTTTCTTTTTTGAGGCAGAATTTCTGTGTAGCTGAGGATGACCTTGAACTCCTGATCTTCTTCCAGCTCCCAGGTGTTGAGATTACCATGTGCACCACCACACCAATTTAACTGTCTTGTCTGTTGTGGCATCATATTGGTGCTCCAAAAGTCCCTAATTTTGTAGGATTTCAGATTAGGACTGCTTAACCTGCACTCTTTACAGTCTAGACTCTCCGATGACAAGCGTCACTTAAACTCACAGACCATTGACAAGAATTATCACAGGGCTGTCTTGGGTATACAGGCGGCTGGGGAGTGCTCAGTTGGCTTCCTGCTGATAACTGTCATGTAGCTGAGGATCTGTGGAGTTGTTGACACTCTCATTCATCTCCTGCTAGTGAGATGAATGATGGTTGAGATTGGAAACTCTTTGCCTATTTCTTTATAAAACACAGTACATGCTGCACCCAGTATAGGATGATCTACATGTTGGAAGGGGGTTTCCTAAATATTTAAATGAGCAGGAGATACAAAAGGAAGATGAACTAAGAAGGTTAAAGGTTAAGTGCTTTGGGGTTGGTATCGGGCTGACTTAATTTGAATTCTGTGCCACAGATTATTAACTGTATGAAAGATGTTAGTTATATTCTTCAAGCAGAATGTAAATAGTATCTATTTTATTAGTCTGAGGTATGAAGAACAATACAATATCTGTTGTGAACTAAGCTCTCAATATACTACTGTCTCCAAGAAGCATCAAGTTATTTTTTTTTCAGCACAGCTTTATAAAATTGCTTTTTTCAGTCTTTGCTCTTGCAAGAATTTTTTATTAATTAAATTTATTCATTTACATCCTGACCACAGTTCCCCTCCCTCCTCGCCTCCCATTTTCCTTCTCCCACCTTCCCTTCACCCCCTGAACCCACACCTACTCTGTTTCTGTTTAGAAAGGGGCAGACCTCCTCCCATGGGTATCAACAAGGCATGGCATATAAAGTTTCTATAGGACTAAGCTCCTCCTATTGTATTAAGGCTGAGCAAGACAACCCAGTATGAGGAATAGGTTCCTCTAAGCCAACCAAAGTGTTAGGGACATTCCCTGTTCCTACTGCTAGGTGTCCCACAAGTAGACCAGGCTACACAACTGTCACACTTATGTAGAGAGCCTAGGTCAGTCCCATGCAGGCTCCCTGGTTGTTGGTCCAGATTCTGTGAGCTCCAATGAGCCCAGTTAGTTGTTTCTGTGAGTTCCCTTTTGATGTCAGTGACCTGCCCTGGCTCAAACAATTCCTTCCTTCCTCTCTTCAGCATGATTTCCCGAGCTCAGCCCAGTGCTTGGCTGTGGGTCTCTGCATCTGTTTCTGTCAGTACTGGATGAAGGCTCTCTGATGACAATTGGGGTAGTCACCAATCTATGAGTATAGCAGAATACCATTAGGCATCATTATGTTAACATTTTTTGTTCTCCAGTTGTGTTTGGTTCTATCCTAGGTCTCTGGGTCATCCAGCCTCTGTGTCCTTGCACTCCAGGCCGTATGGGGGGGTGGGTTCTCTCCCATGGTATGGGTGTGAGGCTGACCCAGTCATTGGTTGGCCACTCCCACAATCTCCATGCTACCCTTATACCCCACCCCCACCCCATACACACACACACACACACACACACACACACACACACACACACATCCTATAGGCAGGACAGACTGTAGGTCAAAGGTTGTGTGGCTGGTACAGCATCCCAATCCCTCCACCAGAAGTCCCACCCACTGGTCACAGGAGGCCAGTTCAGGCTACCTATCCACCATTGCTAGGAGTCTTAGCTGGGGTCATCCTTGTAGATTCCTGGGAGTTCCTCTTGTATCAGGTTTCTACCTGACCTTGAAATGCCCCCTCTTTCCAGTCATCTCTTTCAGTACCCTCCACCTCCTTTTACCTCCCCCAACCCAATCCCTCATGTTCCCATATCCACCCAACCCTAGTCCACCCATGACATCTCTTCTGTTTCCCCTTTCCTGGGAGATCCATGCGTTCCCTCCTTGTTACCTGGTCTCTCTGGGTCTGTAGATTGTAGCATGGTTATCCTTTATTTTACAGCTAATATCCACTTATAAGTGAGTACCTACCCTGTTTGTTCCTTTGGGGTTTAGTTACCTCACTCAGGATGATTTTTTTCTAGTTCCATCCATTTGCCTTCAGATTTCCTGATGTCATTGTTTTTAACAACTGAGTAATACTCCATTGTGTAAATTTACCACATTTTCTTTATCCATTCATTGGTTGAGAGGCGTCTAGGTTGTTTCCAGGTTCTGGCTATTATGAATAGAGCTGCTGTGAACATAGTTGAGCAAGTGACCGTGTGGGATGATTGGGCTACTTTGTTAATAGCAGCTTTATTCATAATACCAAGGGTTTGTTGTCGTTGTTTTTAATGGTTAGTGTTTATAGGGTTTAAACAAACTGTCATTTAGTGTTCTGATTGGAGTGGATTAGCTGACTCAGGACACCTGTGTTAGAATCCTTTATTAACTAGTGTGTCACTTGAGCAAGTCAGAAATTGTCTTCTGTTATCTTTCCATTTGCCATGGTTATGAATTACAGAGTTGTCATTATGAAGATAAATGTGACAGCACACATTAATTGTACACCTGATCTTACCTGGTTATTTTTGCTTAACTTTGTCTAGTATTAAAAATGTTCAGGATTATATGGCAAAAAAAAAAATGCAATCCTAAACATTCCCTTGTTCGCTTGTCAAAATTCATATTGATAAATGCAGAAGTGAAATTGAAAATGTTTTCAGAGTAAGATTTTATTTATTTATTTTTTTGTCTTGTAGGCATTTTGTTCCCAATATCACTTTTGGTCATCCTGTGGTTGAAAGCCTCCGAAAGCAGTTAGGCCAGGACCCTTTCTTTGGTAAGTGGGTTGCTAAACATTTAAAACTGACAAGATTGCTTAAATAAAGGAAAAAGAGATCAAGTTCATCCTGCCCCTTCTCCTGTTTCTTACTGTGGTGGGCATTCATTAGCTTGATCTTAGCAATCCAACACCCTTCTCCTTTCCCAGGGCTGTGAACCTGATTCTGCCTGGGAAACTCTTCTGCTGAGCGCCTCACTGTCAGTCTTCAGGTCACTTGTCATCTCTTTAGAGAGGCCTTTCTAAGCACCTCCTCCAAACTCACTTTATCCACTTCTCAGTCTGTTCTTAGACTGATTATAAGATCCATGAAGGTAGGGCTAGAACTCAACTCGTGATTTTCCTTATAATTTATTTATAAATGTATATTTGTTGTTTATCATATATGTTTATATTGCAATATATAATTTATTTGTTTGGCTGTTTTGCCTGCAGGTATGTGTGTGTAGTGCCCTCAGAGGGCGTTGGATTCTTTGGAATTAGAGTTACAGAAGATTGTGAGCCACCGTGTGGGTGCTGGGAACTGAACCAAGTCCTCTGGAAGACCAGCTCATGCTCTTAACTGCTGAGTCCTCTCTCCATCCCCAGCTTTTGGTTTTCTTAAGGCTAAACAGACATGATTACGTTTAGTATTAACGAGTAATTGACTTTATGATTTAACTAAGTAGTCCAGCAGCCAATTTATTTTTTTCAAATGTGGGCTTTTTGAAGATATGCTTCATTTCATGAAATACTAAATCTAAAGGGTTTTTTGTTTCTTTTGGAGGGGGGTTGTATTTTTGGTTTTTGTTGTTGTTGGTTTTTGGGTTTTTTTTTTGTTTTTGTTTTTTGTTTTTAGATCACTCCAACCTAGAAGTTATTGAACTGAAACAGATTCAAGTTCATAATATTATGTAACTTGTATAATTAACTAAAGCTTAAGTTTTTTTTTGCCAGTAGAACAATTTTATGAAGGAAGGACTCTAGCTGAAATGTTCAGTGTGCTAGCTCTAAAACCCATATTCAACTACGTATATTAAAATAAAAATTGAGGATCTCATTCCCAGCAGGCACATCACCGGCCTCAGTCGCCGTGTGTGTCTGTTGACTGTTCCCAGCAGTGCCCCACGGGCGTTCCTGCTGGTGCAGACTGTTACTCCCGCTTGTGCGGCCTCTCGCTAATGTGCCCAGCCTTTGGACATGCGGAGTTCATGTTACTGTCACCAGAGAAGGCCACACCTGAGAAGCGCATAGTTGAGTTACAAAAACGAGACAAAACCAAACAGCTCGTATAAAGTGAGTTTACAATTTTGTGTTGGTCTTATCCATAGCCATCCCTCACCTTATTCAGGCTGTGCTTGTACATACCCGTGAAAGGATTCATCCATTTTGAGAGGTTTAAAAAAAATGTGCATTATTACCTCATATCTATCAACATGTTCATCTTTTAAAATTTCATGTAGTTGAATATAATCTTGATGATGTTAAAAAATTTTTTTTGGAAAGGAGTTTTCAGAGTAAGTTTCTTCTTGAATCTGCTCCTGTTATATACCATGACTTTTTAAAATTAAATTTGTTATCCTGATTAAGAGAAATGATGAAATAAATTACACTATTCCTATATACAGTAGTCACACATCCCACTGCTCTGTCTTTCTCATTTTTTTTTTTTTTTTACATTTTTTTTGTTTCTCTCATGTTGACTCCTGTTCTCATTCCTCACTGTTTCCTCCATCTTCTATCATCAGTCTTGCCTCCTGTAACACTACTGCTACCACCAGATCCAGTCCACTTTTCCTTCTGGACATAGGCAGATATGGATCATGTATATATGTATATACATTTGCTAAGAAGTACTTTAGGAAATTTATTCAAAATAAGGATGAATATGCTTTGTTAATACTTGGGGTTTTGAGGCCTTTATTTTCTATCATTTGATTTGTTTTTGGATCTTAGGTGTTAGATAATTGATGAATGACTTCATTTTAAGAAGTAGACCAGGGTTAGAGGTGGTTCAGTGATGAAGAGCATTTTCTGCTCTTACAGAGGACCAGGGTTTGGTTCCGACACACACATCAGGTGGCTCACAACTACCTGTAACTCCCTCTTCTGGCTTCTGTGAGCACCGGTACTTTTGTGCAAATGCCCACACACAGAGACACATATATACATAATTAAAAGTAAAATCTTTAAAAATAAATGAGTAGTCTGTAAGTTGTATTTATAACCTCTAAGGTTCTGGTGTTTTGTTGGTTGAACTAGAGATCAGAACTTGGGCCTTGCACATGCCAATTCCACAGCCTTTTACTATTTTCAGAGTCATGTATTTGTGTGTGTGAATACATGTGGTACATGTGTGAATACATGTGATACAGTGACATGGTGTGCTTGTGGAGGGCAGGTCAAAGGACAGCATTTGCAAGTCATCTTATACCTTCCGCACTACTGAGGTAAGCTCTATCTGTCTTCCTGCACACTCCACTTAGCTGGCCTGAGAGCTTCCTGGATATTCTCTCCACCTCCTATCTCATTATAGGAGTCCTGGAACTCTAAATGGGACCCACTGCTGTATCAGCTTTTCATATGGGTTCCAGGATCAAACCCAGATTGTCAGGCTTCCATGGCTAGCACTTTTATCCACCATGCCATCTCCCTAGCCCCACTTTTAGTTTTGAGGCAGGGTCTCCCTAAGTTCCCCTAGCTGACTTAGAACTTCTGTGTCCCAGGCTGGCCTTGAACTTGGAATCCTCTTGTCTTAGCCACTGGAGATGTTTATATTACAGGTCTGTACCCGACAGCCCTGCTATTTAGAAAGCTCTCAACTATTCAGTCTTAGTTTTGAGTACAAAAAACATCTAAGAACTAAACTAACAAGAAAAGCCTTTATTATCTAAGGCAGTGCTCTGTACTGTAGGGAACCATGGAAATCCTCTTTAGCTCCTTTATGAGGTCAAAGCTATTTTCATAATACTGAGACATTATTTGTCATTGTCCATACTGGTGCTGCAAATCAACGGTAAGTTGTTTTTTTGGTGTCATAAGCAGTCAGTGGTGCAGTGGCATCAGATTCCTCCAATCAGGACTGTGCTTCACTCCTGTGTGTCTGTAGTATGTATCTTTGGTGAAGCAATTTAGAAATGTGTTTTAGTAAGTTTGTCTTGAATAATGTCTTGTTGATTTTCATGTGACAGAGTAGGAAGAACAAAGCATTTCTGCTGCATGTGTGATGACACTTTTCATTTGAGCAGGTGCTTTTCTCGGGCCAGAGACCTTGCACCATTGCTTGAACTGAACTGGCTGCCTTTTCCTAACACCAGTTTTTGCTTGGGGAAAAAAAAAACAATGACAGCTGACTTGTTTGTTTTAGAAAATGGCTGTTTTACAGACTTCTTTTTAACTAACAAAGTAAACTTGTCACTTCAAAGAAAATACCTTGTGTGTTGCCAAAGAGTTTGTAAGAAGAAACTAGAATTGAAAGCTTTGTGCACAACCACACCTAGAGAGGCTCCTTACCATATATCACAGGGCCGTTCCCATAAATACCTTGTAGATTGAGACATCGTAAGTCAAAAGTGCATTTAATATGAATAACCTCTAACCTTGACTGCTTCCACTGTGCCCAGAGTATTTAGCTAGTTCACAGTTGGACAAAAACCACCTATGTTGTTATAAAGTGTTGATTGCCTCTTGTTATTTATTACCTGTATCTAGAAGATACTTCCTATACACAATACACATAGAACAAGGTGTTTGGGTTTTTTTGGCGGGGAGGATCTCATGTAACTCAGGCTGGCCTTGAACTAATTTTTTTTGCCCTGTTCCTTGAGACAGGGTTTCTCTGTGTAACAGTCCTAGCTGTCCTGCAACTCGCTTTGTAGACCAGGCTAGCCTCAAACTTACAGAGATCTGCCTGCCTCTGCCTCCCAAATGCTGAGATTAAAGGTTTGCACCACCAAGGCCTGGCTGGCCTTGAACTCTTGACCCTCCGGATTCCACTCTAACATACTACAGGACCATGTATAAGACTGTGTCTGATGTGAGCAAGGCTTCTTAAACTTCTAGACTTGACTCCTAATCCCATGAGAAATTTTTACATAGCCCTGAGTATACAGATATATAAAATAAGCATATAAACCATACCTTTACTGGTAATAAGTCGTAAAGTAATTGATTTTAAAACAACTTTTTGGTATACATATAATTTTACCATTTATTAACAAATTTGCATACTAACAAGATGATGTGCTTGTTTTAAATAAGGAATATCTTGTCTGAATATTTGCTGCTGCAGGATATAGCATCATTAATGATTTTCTTACACATATCTGTGTTAAAAGCTTAACTTATAATTAAGCACAATATTTAGTAAGCAACAACTCATAATAAAAGAGAACAGGGCAGTGTACTGTAATTATGTGAGTGCAGTCTCTAAAGTTTTCTTATGTAATCCTTGCAGTAATGTGAGATGATGCTCAAAGGAAGAATTTATGACTTGTACACTTGCCATCATAATGACACTTGTGCTGTGTTACTGATGGCAAGTAAAAAATAGAGGTCATCAGGATAACCCAGGGGGTAAAAGTGCTTTTTATGGAGGCTTGGCAACCTGAGTTCTAACTCCTTTTCCCATTGTGGGAAGGGAAAATCAGATTCCCAACAGTTGATCTCTGACCTCCACGTGTATACCATGGCATGCACACACCTGTACTTACTCATCTGTCATGCATACACATACACACACACACACACACACACACACACACACACACACACACACACACACACTAATAAAGATTTTATAGAAATAGGATAACTCAATCATAAGCACTGTGATACCAGGACATTGGGTGTGATCACTTCAGCCAGCTGCCAAGTTGTGAATGGGTAGTTTATGGTGTGTGTACTCCAGTCAGAGGGATGACTCAAAGAGCAAGTTGGTGTGGGGTACACAATATAAAACTTAACAAGTGTTCATTTCTGGAACTTCTGTCTAGCATTTTTAAACCACAGATGACACAAGAAAACCTCCAGAAGGAAGCTGCACTAACTAAACTGTGCAAAACAGAGGTCTTCTGTAATTTCTGTTAGTATTTCATGTGTTAGTTAGTACTCTGAAATGTCTAATGCACATAACACCTGTACATTTAGCAATATCAGCCAGAGTGTGCTAGGATCTGTCTGAGGACTGCTGATCTTACGTGAGGTTTTTACCTATTAACATGTTTTTATTTGTTTGTTATTGTTAGTCTAGAAATACATACTGTAATGCTGGTATTATTGCCTAACTCTTTTTCAAAGCGCTTGACTTTTGTAATTTTAGTTAAGTTATGAAATGTTAGAATTTATTTTTAAAATACAGCATAGCAAGGCCAGAAATATACTTCCTCTGACGAAAATCAAACACTCATACTCTCCACACTGCACTGCACAGAATTGGTCACAAGGTTATCTTGTGGTCCAGCCTCTTTGAGAGGCCCTTTCCTCATGAGACACTTTCAGGTTGAAGAACTTGAAGCAGACCATGCCTGTGTTCTGCTTACTGTGTTGTGTACATCCAGCTTCAGGCTTCCACCCTCCCTCACCAGCCTGCCGTCTGTCTCCTCTGTCTCCTCTGTCACTCCATACACTGCAGCTCTGCCCTCCTATGTGCTGAGGCCAAGTCTTGGTTCGGCGCCGTTTCTTTTCCTCTCCCCTTCTAGGTGGCTGTGCCTCCAGAGCCTGACTGCCTGGGTTACCGTCACTTCACTGAAACCTGCGTTTCCCCACCGCCTTAGGCTAAATCCAGCAGCCTGCAGAGCTCGGCCACCTTCCTCACTGCCTCTTTCTCAGACATCACGTCCTCCGCAGCTGGCATTAGCTACTCACCCTAGTTTGTATTTTATCATTTGTGCCGCCGTGAAAGTTCAGGAAGGTTGCTAAAGGAGCACGTGGAGAAAATCACGTTTAGCTTTCTGAAAGAGAACAGGCTACATAGGTAGTGTGACCCCTTTCAGCCATTAAAAGTGGCATTTCCTGGACTCACACCTCAGTTTCCTGGTTTGTTCTCATTACTTTTTATATATAGCAGCATGTGCTTTTTGTGGAAAAACTATTTCATAAGTAAATATAACCAAATTGTATCTTTAGGATGAAGACTATCTATACCAAAGTATAACTGATCATTTTGTGATGCCAGAATAATTTATATAAATAATGACCAAAACAAAACAAAACAAAAAACCCTATAGGCTGACTTTATCCCATGTGCTGGGTATTCCTCTCAGTAATGAACAGAAAATGTCTTTTCTTCTCAGATATGCACATGATGGTGTCTAGGCCAGAACAGTGGGTAAAGCCAATGGCCGTGGCAGGTGCTAATCAATATACCTTTCATCTTGAGGCAACGGAGAACCCGGGGGCTTTGATTAAAGACATCCGGGAGAATGGGATGAAGGTAAGTTGATGATAAGAGTTATGTTTTACACCAGTTCTTGTCAAAGTTTGAAAGATAGGTGGGGGAAAAAATGATAGGAAAAGGACTGGACGTGGGCAGCTGGGAGTCCAGAGTTAAGTATAAAATGTTTGTAAGATAGATTCTGCCTATGTTTCTGAAGGTCACTCACTGCCTTGGAATCATTCACATTTAATGACCATGTTATCGTTAAAAACAAACGAAAAACCAGTGCTGGGACCCTTTCTGGCCTGAATGTGTCACTGAGAGGGGGAAGTGGATACACAGAGTCCAACCCCTGAAAAAGAAGCTATTTGTAATTGATACCCACTGGGAAGGAAAAAATCAGTTTTCTACAGTGGAGTTTTACTGAGTCTATCGGCCATACTCTAGGGCAGGCCCAGTCTCCAGGAGTAGTTGACCAATACAAAAAGAACTCCTTGTTTGTTTATTTTGGGGGCGGAATTGTTTTTTTGTCTCATTGTTTTGTTTGAATTTTGATTTTGTATATGTTTGCATGTGTTTGGTTTGGTTTGGTTTCATTTATTTTTTTTTTTTTTAAATAGGGTTTCTCTGTGTAGTTCCTGTCCTGGAACTCACTCAGTAGACCAGGCTGGCCCCGAACCCAGGGATCTACCTGCCTCTGCCTCTCGAGTGCTGGGATTAAAAAATTAAATTAAAAATTTAAAAAATATGTATTAAAAAAATACAAATGTGCCACCACCACTAGGCACATGTGTATCTTTTTAAGAGAGAGCAGGAGAGAATATAAAGTTGGGTGGATAGGGAGGATCTGGGAGGAGTTGAGGGCATGATCAAAATATATTGTAAGAAAAATATTTTAAAGTAAAAATCAAAAAATAAGGTAGCAAAAATAAATACAAGTCAAACAAACAAACAAACAAAAAAGAAAAACTGATGTTGTACTCCGGATATTTGCGTACTGTTTTGTGAGTTGGTTTTTTAAACTTGGCCACAATATACAATAGGGAAATGATGTGATTTAGCATTTGTGTGTTACAGGTCGGCCTTGCCATCAAGCCAGGAACGACAGTTGAATATTTGGCCCCATGGGCTAATCAAATAGATATGGCTTTGGTAATGACCGTAGAACCTGGGTTTGGAGGGCAAAAATTCATGGAAGATATGATGCCCAAGGTAAAAGAAATACTCTGTTCTGGGGTGAGGTTTCTACTATAGGTGTGTATTTAGTAGATGTGTCCTGCTTTGGAGGTGAGGGAACAGAGATGCCTTCAGATACTGTAAGACAGGATGATAGGTTTTAAAATAAAAGCTAATGTCCATATTGCAAATTTTTTAAGCTGCTATTTTTGTGACCTTGGGTCACTTGAGAATTTTCATTAGTCTTTGCAAAGCTATCACAAATTGATGTCATTTGCTAAACTTCTTTGATAAACATGATATGCTTCAGTCCATTGTAAGTGATCCCCAGTCATGTTGTGTGTACAGCTAAGCTCGGGGGAGTGCTGATGTTTTGTGTGCTTGGTTGTTTTCCCTTGCGTATGCACTGTGGGAGTCACTGTTTCTTCGTGTATGTCTAGGTTCACTGGTTGAGGACCCAGTTCCCAACTTTGGATATAGAGGTCGATGGTGGAGTAGGTCCTGACACTGTTCAGAAATGTGCGGAGGTGAGATTGCTCCTCAACTGTGACTAGGCCAGTTCCTGTAGGCGCAGTCTGCATGACAGTCCTATCTATCACCAAAGAATTGCTTGAGTTGAGTTTTTCTTCGGGAAAATATTTTTTGCTCAAACATAGGATTAGGAAAGTAAAGAACAAGTGAGTTTCTAAATTGATGATCACTGAGCATCGTCTATTAGATCCTGCTACGTTGTTTGGTTTTGAACTCTTCTGCGGTGCTGTTCCTGCTCAAATTAAGAGACATATTAATCAGTAGTCCTATAAACTCTAATTCCTGAAAGAATGTTATTGGAGATGTAAAACCCTGCTATCAGGTGACTGGGTCTCATTGGAGAGATTTCCTCACCGTGTGGTTTTCCAGCTTCTAACAATGGACTACACAGCAGATTGGCTTTCCCTCAGCTCAGATCCCAGGCCCAGAGCTGTATTTGGAGCTATCTCATTTGAGCTTTTTAGAGTGTTCCCTTTACCCCCCATTTCTTTGACTCCACATTTAAAAATGTTATCCAGGGAGAATTTTCTAAGGAACTGTAACCTAAGAAAGCATAAAGATACATTTTTACATTCTTTCTGACACAAAGTGACAGAAATGTTCCAGTGTTTTATGGCCAGCTTCTCATTTTCAGTCTCCTTTCAGACTTTCTTGAAACAAACAGACCCCTTAGGGTCTGGGGTCCTTGGTGTGCGTTAGGAAAAGCCTGACTGGAATAGAGATCTAAGAAGGCAAAGCCTCGTTTCTAAGTGTCAGCAGAGGTACTGTGTGGAGCTAGGACTAGTTTACGAAGCAGCAGTTCAGTGACTTGGTAGGCACATTTACAAGTAACTGTGGCCTCATTTATAAGCATTTTCCCTTCTTACCTCAGTGAATTAGAGTGCTACACTCAGCTTCTGGGGAAGCGCTGGCAGAGACAAGGGTGGAAAGGCTGCTCCAGGACTTCTGTGTTGGTTTCTTCCACGCTAACACACAGCCATGTACTTCTTGCAGGCAGGAGCTAACATGATTGTGTCTGGCAGTGCCATCATGAAGAGTGACGACCCCAGATCTGTTATCAACTTACTAAGAAATGTCTGTTCAGAAGCTGCTCAGAAACGTTCTCTTGATCGATGAAGCCACAGGAACCCGGGTTCTGCTCACGAAATCTTTTTTATTGGAAAAGAGGAATATTAACTACCAAATCACATTGAATCGAAGCAGTGCTGCATTCCAGTGATTAAATTCAATTGTGCAGGATGTTCAAGAGGTTAGAAATAACTACCTTTTTAGTGATGCCATTTAGAGATTAGCGTGGTGAAATATTCATGTTTATATTGGGAGAATGATTTTTGTAAAGAGTGAAAATATGGTTTAAGATTAGACAGAAATGTGTCTTAATGCCTAAAGAGGAAAATTAGCTACTATGAAAACCATTTTTCTGTATTTTTAAAAAGAATGTTCTGTTGTTTCTTGGTTTATCCCTAAAGCAAATGACAGCCATTTTCTCTGTTTCGTGTCATTTGTGGTTTGTTTATATGCCTGAGAATATGAATGGAATGGGACTAAAATTAGAAGCTTTGTTGGGGTAATACGTCATTGTCTGGCATCTGAAACATTTTTACTTTTTATCTTACACTTGGTTTATTAAAGACTATAAAAATGTATGAGGGCTAGGCTTTCTGAAATCCAAGCACAGACTCTATCAAGGTATTTTCTTTGTCACAGCAGGCTTTTCAGTAACTCCTTTCTGCTTCTGGTTCTCACTCAACTACCATTCTTAGGGCTGTGAAATAATACTGTTGTGGTAGCTGTGAGCAGAGAGGAACCATACAGTCTTTCTTGGAAGCTCCACTGGGTTGAATCCAGGTTAGCTCCATTCTAGATCTTTGATTTTAAGAAAAGTCACTCAACCTGTTTTCACTATCGACTCTTACATCTGTTAAATGGAACCATAACTACTGTGGGTTGAGAATTAAAAGCATAACATGATACTAGATAGCCTATAGTTCTACTCTTAGACTGTAGGGGATGATCAACACAAAATGGCAAGCATTGTCTGGTTTGTGAGTATTACACACTTTGGTTGTGCTTAATTAACTCCTAGATTGTCTATAATTGTTAGCAGGTATGTTTTGTGCTGGCACATAGAAAGGGTCCAGGAAAAGCGGGCTTTCTGGTGTGTCCTGCTGCTCAGACTACAGACGGCCCCTGAGAGGTAGGTTAGAGAGAAGAAAGGTTTTTTTAACTTTATTTTTAGTGTAACTATGCTCTCTAGCAGAATCAGCGTGAGTAAAGCATACTCTGGAAATACAGATGGGGCCCCAGGATGTTTATATCATTTCTAAGAAAGAAGAAGCAGGCTAAGAGAGGACAGGGTACAGACTTCATCCATGAACGAAGTATTACTAACAGTGTTCCCAGTTACCGAAAGACTGGCAATGTGCATCAGCAAGTTCACTCTCATTCTTGACTATGACAAGAACACAACCAGTATCATTACATTTCTTCAGGCTACTATGAGTTTTGAGAAATAAGGTTTTAAAAAATAAGAACACTGACAAACTTAGGCATGAAACAGATTGCTGGGGCTTTTTCCTGCCCTATAAGGTAAAGTTTATTAATACTTGTTTTTATTTTGGCTTAGGAGAAGTTTGTGCCACGAGTAATAGCATTTAATCAAATCACACAATACAAGGCATATAGAAATAACTTTAATTAAAAAACTATGTAGAAGATTATAATATCAGTCATGACAAAGATTTGAATTACTTGCTGGGACAACTTGTATTTTTCTGGCTTTTGTTATCTTTTTCTTTAAAAATAAATGTACAGTAAAACTATAAGCAAAAGTTTGTAACTATTGAATTTGAATGGTTCCCCATCCCCCTTTTGCAGGGACCAGTTTAATTTCTAATCCTCAACAAAACCTTAAGTATCTAATCCCACAGACGCTAAGCCCAGTGGCCAGGATTTTCAGTATTATGGGAACTACAAATTGAGTAACCTTTCTTTGCATAACAAAAAGTGGTTGATACAAATTGTCCTTAACTTTCGTCTAGAAAAAATGGTATTATAGCTCCAAAAAGAATTTTCCTTAATGTACACTCCTCAGTATTCTATATTAAAGTCTTAGTCTTTGAAAAAACTTGAATTCTTGATCTAGGAGCCTATTAAGAGTAGGTATTTGAGTAAGCTATGGCAAGGAGAAACCAAATTAGAAGCTTCTAGCTGTACATTTGCTAGAATTACAACCATATTATGATTTGTATGCTGTTTTGCATTTTAAATTGCTGTCTTGAAGAGGTACATAAAGCAAGTAAAACTCAGGGTGAATTTTCAAAGACGATAGTTTTAAAATGTATCAATATATTAAACTCTAAGTTGCTTCTCTTAATTCTGTTAAGAGTAAGCAGAAAGTCTGTGGTTAGTCCAAGAGAGAACAATGATTTCAAATAAATGAATATTGTATTATCTGATATAAGAATTTCCATAAATAACTTATATTGGTTAAACAATTTTTAGAATAAAAGAAAAAACAACTCCCTTTCCATAGTCAAAGCTTTCAGATGTCTATTATCAGTCAGCACCTGTGCTAGATATTCATGGCAACTTACATTGCATAGAGTAGTTCATATATGCAGTTTTAAGACTACGTGTGTGCGTGTGTGTATATATTCTGTATACACACTAGTATATTCTCATATTACTGAGGCAATTTTAATGAACTGCCATGAGAACCGATACAAAGAATAGTTGTCATTTGATGCAAATCAACTGTATTGTCAGGAAGGGTCTCTTAACAGTTACCCCATAGTGTAGTTTCACATCAAATTGCAGCAGTGTGTGATCTGTGTTACTGACAAACACAAGTTACTAGCATTTGTGTAGGTGAAAAGCTAGCTACTTCTGTGATTCAGGAAAAAGAAACTTCTCTGGCCTGTTTCATGGACAGTGAAAGATGGATACATGCAGCACATCCTCCTTGTCTGGAATTGTGACCAGAGGAGCAGAAGAGTCAGAAGAGGGTTTAGGTTTTTCTTCCTCTTTTCCTTTCAGTTACATAGTTTTCATAATTTGTTCCCTGTCACCTATTTCTTTTAACATTAGTAACTCCTATACCAAAGGTTTTATACTCTTCCATTCCATCTAACTGCATTTTTGGAGGGTGGCCATCCTCTGGTGTAGTGCTACAGAAGACTTCGTCGCGGAAGGCTGCGCTTGCCCCCTCAGTCTGATCCTTTCTTTCATCTTGGCATAATAAGGCTGCAGCATCCTCATCCTTCAGTGGAAAAGCTCGTCGCTCCCACCGCAAAGACTGAAAGGGGAAAGAAACATTTTCAGTTAAGTTTCACCTAATTTGATTATTTGTTAAGGAATTTGTAATGTCAGTTTTTATAATGATTCTTTGAGTATCTAAGTTCAGGTTTTTATTTCCTCTCATACCAAAATGGAATATACTGAGAATTTCTTGACTTTAAGGAATTATTTCTTTACTCTGCTAAGAAGAGCAGATACTGCCACAGAACCCTTTAAGGAAGGATTTCTTCCATTTGCTGTACTTCATTTCTGTCTCATTGTTATTACAGATCCTTTTTCTTCCTAATTTTCTGCAACTTGCATATTAACTTCTATAGTCCCTCCATTCTTGATCTAGTTATTTTTCAACACCCTGTAATGGGGATAGAAGCATGAACTTTGCACAGTTGTAGGATATACTCCCTACAGTAGGCGCTGGATCTGTGTGGAGACAAGTCAAACCCTTTGTTCGCAGCAGGGAAACAGAGGCTGTGCTTACTGTGCGCCATGTGCCAGTCTCCAGTGCTCAGGTTTGTTCTTAAAGAAAGTGCAGTAGAATCCCCATCCCCTAACAGGCAAGTAAGTAGATAGGTCAGGGTTGTTACTGGCAGGCTGTGCCCCCCAAAAATAAAAATACAAGTAAATTGCTAATAGAATGGAACTAGAGTGCTCCACTATAGACCTTCATGGCCATGCTAGACTGAACATCTCACTGAGTTTGATATGTAGTAAAACAATTTACAATAAGCAATTTCTACACACAAGTGAGATGAAGTTAAAAGACAGTTAAAAGAAAATGCAGTCATATAACCTAGGCTTACCTTGATTTCTTGACTATCACTTAAAGAAAGTGAGTCCTGAGCACACAGACTGTGGTTGTCTGCCGGGAGCTCGAGGGGGCTCTCGGCGTTAGCACACTGCTGAGCATTGCCTAGTTCACTTGGGTTTTCCTTCAGAACCAAGTCCTGTCCTTCCATGTTTTTACTGTAAGCTCTAGTAAGGAAATAAATGAATACAGGGTATCACACTAAGTCAGTACTGTGTTTTTCTAGTGTTTCTACCCAAGGTCATCTGATGATCTTCCCAGTGTTGTTTTTAGGAAAGGTTTCTATCCAAGGCTTAAATATCCTCATTGAGTACTCAATCATTGTTGTTACAGTTCTTTGGTTTGACAAGACAGAAAGGGCCATGTATTTGACTTTTACAGTCTTTGAGTTCTCAGTTTATTCTAGAATTGTTTTAACATACATGAAGACCTCAATTCACATTTTTTCCTCTGTATTTCTGGAAAGTTCTATCTAGGATGTGGAAAAGAACTGGAATTCTAGAGTATCATTTATATTAGGAGAACTCTTTAAACAAAGATTTACAGTACATCTGAACAGCTAGGCAGAGAAGGGACTTCATTATTATTTAACTAATTGAAAGATGTTCTTTAAATGAAGAGACAGCTAGATTTTTACATGAACTTGCTTCTTTAGTTGTGGCTATATTAAAAACAATAAAATGTAACTACAAAGGTATTTCAAATAGATAATTACTAATTATGTCACATTTATTCTCTCCCAGTCTTCTTAGGAGCTTGTTTCTGGTTTTGAGACAGAGTTTGGCTCTGTGGCACATGTTCTAACACATGATCATCCTGCCTCATCCCCATGAATGCAGGAACTCTGAGCATGTGCCCAGATCTAATATTTATATTTTTAAAAGTCCCATGAACTATTTGTCTTTTATACTAAAATAAAATTTCTCAAATAATTTGTGTTAAGTATTATTTTTGAGATGTTTGTTAAAATGGATTGCCTAAACTCCAGTACCTTATGCTGGGTTCACTGTTTAAACAACATTGAAATAACTTGCTTTAAGATTCTGGAGAAGAGTTCTTCACTGTGCAATCTATACTGGTCTTAAACTAGAGATCCACCTGCCTCAGCTTCCTAATTAATTACTGGCATGTGCCACCATGGCTGTATGAAATGACATGCATTATATAGAATGTTCCTTATATTTCCTGGGTAAGTATGATACCATGGGTGGTAGCACATAAAGTGTGAGAACTCATTCTGTCGTGTCATTTCCCAGATGCACGTGGGATGTCAGTTTCTGTGTGCAGGTGTCACTTGACACAACAGCTAGTTTTGCATCCTGTGATTTCCTTCTCGGGGGTCTTGCCTGAATTTCATGGCTGGGTTCTGTTCATTCCT